TAAATGATGCTGCTGTTTTCCCTGTGAGATCAAAAATGAGAGGAATTACTCAAACTATTGAGAAGCAACAAAAAACTGGACCAGTTGCAGTATTATGATAATAAACTAACGAAGCCTGTTCCCTCTTACATTTAAGTTTGTTACCTCTTCTTCTTCTCCTCCCTTATGTGTCTCCATAAACGTCTGACTAAGCTGCACTTACTCTTATGCTTTTATATTTCACTCTGTCTCATCTTCTGCGGAACATATTATTACCTAATAGAAGAGAAGAAATTTGAAATGTACTTGAAACACAACAAGAAGATGGACATCAGTGTTTTCTTGATTGGAATGAAGTAGATAATCTATGTTGCCACTGTGCCTCGGCAGCTCCCTGACAGAATATATGGATGGAATAAATATTGTCTCTTTATGCAATGTGTCTGTGTAACATATGCCTGCAGCAACAAAGTAATGGAAGCAAATGATTGGCAAAATCATGATTGACAACAGAGAGAGAAAAACAAGAGGCCCTCTGACTGACAATACGAGAGTGGAGTGGATGTAAAGTGTGGAAGTAATGCAGAGCAGCGACCGCAGATAAGGGATGAAGTGGGTCGAGCACGTCGCCACACCTGGCCCTCGTCTGAAGAGCAGGTTAGCTGCACAGAACAACAAAGGCTCTCAGATTCAAACATCCCCGAATGCCCACTTGTAGTTTATGCAGCCACTGCGGTATTGTGTTTGTGTCTGCTTCTGTGCTGCTCTGTGATCACTGTAAAATACGAGACAAGGAAAAGAAAACCGCAGCGTTCCCTGCTTTTGAACACTGCAAACATTTAGGTCTGGTGCACCACTTACGCTCCTTTATTATTTTTAATGCCAAGTAAAATGAAATGAGGACGTGCATAAAGCTTCAAAAGAAATTGGCCGCAGTATCTGCCTCACTGATTTTGCTTCATTATCCTTAAAAAAATACACCAACTATGTTAAATTGGTGTCATATTTTAAACTCAAATATTCTCAGTTGTACCCTTACCACAAAAACAATGGGATAATTGTGATGAAGTGTAATGCTTTTTACTCGCACTTACATTTTAATTAGTACACTGATTGGCCTGATGAGGACAGTATTTGGAAGTTTTATTATTTTGGTGGAAAAAAGCAGTGAAAGCCTCAAGTGTGCCTGTGTGATTTTTAAAGAACATTATGCTCCTATTCCATCCTGACTGTTGCTGATATTATTCCTGGCTATGGCCTGTTTTAACTTTTCTGATATTAAGCATTTTGTGGTGATTTTTGGGGCGATTATGGCTCAAGAGTTGGGAGTTCGCCTTGTAATCGGAAGGTTGCCGGTTCGAGCCCCGGCTCGGACAGTCTCGGTCGTTGTGTCCTTGGGCAAGACACTTCACCTACCGCCTACTGGTGTTGGCCAGAAGGGCCGATGGCGCGATATGGCAGCCTCGCTTCTGTCAGTCTGCCCCAGGGCAGCTGTGGCTACAACTGTAGCTGCCTCCACCAGTGTGTGAATGGGTGGATGACTGGGTGTGTAAAGCGCTTTGGGGTCCCTGGGGGGACTAGTAAAAGCGCTATACAAATACAGGCCATTTACCATCTATATAGTTGACCTTGAATGAACTTCCCTGGTGTAGACCATTGGAAGGACATTTTTGCAGTAATACAGAGAAGCTTTTTTGACTGGTTAATGAAGTTAATGAGGAAGTTCAATAAGGAAGGATTACAATCACATATCTGCCTGCTTTCCTGGGTGTTCGGTCGTTGGTCTACTTCCACTTTCCCATGCTGTCGAACTCAGCGTTGACACCAATGCTGACACTAGTCAAATCATCTTTTTGTCCACCTTCTTCGAACCAATCAGCCACCACTCCACGTGCTTTAAATCTCACAGCTCAACAGTTTTCACGCTCTTGTGCGCTCAGTCCACCTCCTCCCACCGTGGTCACTCAGATCTGTCCTAATTTCTATCACCAGGATTATGTTCTGCTGTGTGGAGTGGATGTAAAGTGTGTAATCGCCAAATAGATTAATTGAATTATGTATCTCAATAATCGTGTTCGGTTCTTCTTGAACTGGTGTCTCAGTATATAAGGCAGAAAGCAGATTATTACCATATTACCAGGTTTAACTTGATATTATGAGATGTTTATTTACACAGCCAGCAGGCATGGAGCAACATTTGTCATGTTTTTGTGCTCAGTTATGTTCAAAAGCCACTTGTTAACTTTGTCTGCCTACCATTTGGTGCTGGTACTGGGTTTTTTGTGGCTCTTTCCACTGAAATCAGCTACCTGCTGCCACTACAAACAATGCGGGGCTGTAAGACTAAAACAGTGCGCTGAGTTATTGTCAGCTCTTCATTACAAGTGACCTACTTTCCCAAATATTGCATAGTGCCAAAAAATTGATCACGGCATGCAAAGTCATCTAAAAATGTGCAGAGGACTTCTTTATTTCTTTTCTTTTCTTTTTACTGGCCCTTTTTTTGCTTTCTGTGGTAGATTACCACTTTTATTAGAACTCGCACACATGCACACACAAATAAAGCACGAACATAAACAGACGCACACGCAAATTGTAAAAGCTTCCTCAGAGGTGAAAGCATAAACTACGAAAACAAGCTTCTCTTTGATAAGCTAATACCTGTGTGCCAGCTTCATTCATTCACACACATGGCTTTGCATGTGTTGGCCCTCACTCTCTCCATCTCTCTCTGTCTCTCTTTGACCCAGAAGCATTTCTTCTGCCCATCGAGACTTTCACAGAAGCTAAAAAAAGACACACTTTTCCCATCTCCTATGGAGGAAAGAGAAAAGTAAAGATATGGGAAGCAATGCAGCCGGCCCAGAGTGTCATTATAATAGATAATTTAAAAGCCTTGTGAAAAAAGAAAGAGTGCCATCTTCTGCTATGAACCTAAATATGCATGTGTGCATTGAACATGGCATATTCAATCAAAAGAGATGCTCGTGATGAGAGCACCACTTGTCTTCTCTTCATATACCGACGCAAAACATGGAACAGGAAGTCAGAAAGGCGTCTAAGGGCAATGACAGGAAACAAATGCTCTAATCACACCAGCAAATCTTTAAGTGTGTGCAAGAGAATTCGATTCGGCAAACAGTCACTGACAGATTTTATCTAACGCAACAGCAGTTTTTTATTCACAACCTAAAGACAACTTAAAGTTTAAAGTTTAAGCATTTTTCTTGGTGACAACTTGTAATAGAGATGGTTAGTGATCATACCACATGAGTGCAAATGCCATCAACAGTTTGCCCCAAATTCATTTGCAAGTCAATCAGAGCTTTACTTCATATCATTCTCCTGCTACTTGTCACCTTTTTCTTTAGGTTTCTACATACTGCTAAGTAATGAAGGGAAAATGTCCAAATCTCATGACAAGACCAGCAGAAGTATAGAATGTGTCTTAAATATTTTTAACTTCCCTCCCTTGTAAAGTGGTTCTCAGCACCAGAACAAACAGTGTCTATGGAAATCCACTAACACAGTGTTTCAATTCAATTGAAGCAGCTGGGGTCTAAAGCAATGATAGGTGAGGCTTTGGCTACACAAATAAAACTTATATTAGATTGATATGTGTATGATAAACAGCATTATTATAATTATATTTGTCGACAGAAAAAACGTATGCTAATGCACCTTATCGGCTTCAGTTGAGACTGATGCAACACTTGAACATCAATGGTAATAAAGAGGAAGTGATTCTGTCTAAACACACTACTCTGTAATGAAAACCACAATCTAGTTAAGAGGAACAGTTAACTGATGTCAACAAATATAACGGAACACACAAGATTTTTAAACTTCAGCTGCTGACTGACACGTGTGAGGTAAGCACTGAAATGCACCTTCAGTCCTCCTTTAAAACATGTTTCATGCACAGAGCTTTGATTCCAGATTAAATGTGCGTCGCAGAGTTTGTGACAAGAGCGTGCAACACGCAAAGAGCTAATGGCTGTTAACTGCAAAAGGATTTTCACGTGCAATTAACCCATTTAACATCCAGTGTTGAATTGGTTCGTACATTTTTGTAAGTGTAGAACAATAACGGTTTTATTCTGTGAGAACTACCTTTTGATATAAGTGAACATACAAAAATGAAGGAAGTCACTGTACTGTATTGTTTTTCTAGGCTTATGAGTTTGATTTGCATTCATTCAGGATTCAGCAGTCTAATCATCATCAGTAAGGACTCTGTGAGCACAGGCTTCCTTAGCCAGCCATTTAGCCATTTAAGTAACTTAACAGTATATGTAAAATATTACATGTAATGTGGATATGTTTTGCCATATGTATCAAAATACATATTAACAGTACTGTGCATATGGCTGAAATAGTCTACAATAGAGAAGTGCCAAAAACCTCTTCCTTCTCTGAAATGAAGAGTGAAAGATGCTGCAGGAATGAACTGAAAATTAGCATTAAATACGCTGTGACTTTTATTGACAACTGTGAATGTTCCTTGAGGATGATTTCATGGTGTAATGTGACACTATAAGTGTGTGAGACAACTCTACTTGCCCTTTTCCAGTGACTAAGCCACCACCAGAAATGACAGGGACAGTAAGGAAGAGAAGAAATATGGAAAAGAAAGGACTGGGTGAATATCCGAGGAGGATGTGTAATAATAAAATGGATTGATTCTTATAAAGAAGGTGGATTCCGTATGATCTTCATGTATAATCACATTTGAATATAAGAAATGACTGCTACTGCCTTAAAATAAAGACAAATATGATGAAGCATGGACACGGAGAGTATGGACTTGAGGCATTGTTTGCAGCTTTTTTGGCAACAGAAATGCCAATTATTCATTGTTGGAGAACATTTCTATTCAGTGCTATTGGTATGTGGTCTAATTCTTCTCAGTTGCCTTGGCGACATGCACATCAGGAGGACAACGCAGCATCTCGCAGCCTTCCAAAGGCAGGCTCTAAATTGTTCAATAAAAGGCAAAAAAATGTAAAATACCCACACACCTGCCAACAAGGAGGAACTCTCCATAAACCCCGAGCCGCCTCATGGCCATCAGCAGACCTCGGACAGTCATGCCCTCGCAGAAACACACCACCACACGAGCTTTGGGTAGTCGCTCCCGTAATTTCCTCAAAAGGCGGTCGTAATGTTTCTCCCCTGCGTTACTGTAGATCTTGTCCGAGTGAGCAATGCACAAGCCTTCTTGAGAGGCCAGCTCCTTGAAAGCCTCCATGCCACTCTCCCCATAGTTTCCTGCAGGTGACACAACAAAAGAGACAGTGAGAATAGCGAAATTTTAAATGGCGTCCCATAAAATGTATCTTCAGTGTCTTGGAATCCCATTTCTTAATGATGGGTCCATTTTCAGTCATTGAGAGCTTAAAAGATGAAGCTTTCATCTGTGATTGGAATACAATCCACATCTTGGTGTTTTGCATTACATGCCTTTTTATATGCAATAACACACTGGCATCATTAAATATGAGTAATTGCTTTTAACCACACATCTCTAATTATTGTGCTGATGGACAACAAGTGTTTAAAGCACCCCACCCCCCACCCTTCCCACCAGTTGTTCACTGTAACAAGCCCTGACCGAGTTGAAGCTCTGATCCACTGATAATGAGTGTGAGAGTTGGCCGGCTAGTGATTGCAATCAAAGCCAAGATCGTCGTCCTTGCTTAACAGCATGCTATCCCAATCAAGAGCCCAGCAAAGCTGTTGAGCCTAAATCTTCTATTTTCATGTGAACTACTTTTCTTGACTAATGTGTCAAGAGCTGGATTTCGGATGAAGCCAACGGATCTTTAGCAAGATACCTGGATTGTACAGACAAGTCAATCAGCTGTGCATGCAGGAACACGAACTTGCATTTGATTGTGCTTGTTATCAAAAGGGAATTAAAAGCACCTTTAAATAAAAATGTGTAAACATTGGGCTGTGTGATTGGCTTCACTGCCCCCACCCCCCTCCCTCCCAAACATGGGTGATGGAGAAAAAGTATTCTCTCTGTGCATGGCATGGCTTTACAGAGCGAGGAAGACAGCAGCTGACACAGGCATCACACTAAAGCATTTATTCTGACACAATGTGGCCATGTGTTGGTTTTCCGATAGCCCTTTGATGATATTTTCAATTGCCTCGTTTCATTCTTCCACTGGTAAATGGAAATAATGATATCCAATTATTTTACTCTTTCCATCTCAGCTATGAGACAGGTGGGCGGTGGTGCATTAGTTGACAGGCCTTTTGACAATGACCACCAAAAACCCACTCGGAGCATTGCAACCAGACGGATGATAATCGGGACAGGTAATTTATGCAATTTCACAGCCCTAGCTGTTGCTACTGGCAACAAGCTGCAATTATAACTTGAATAAGGTGGCAGGGAATAGGAACTCGTGGGCTTAAGACAGTCGTGACCACAGTTTCAGAGATAAATAAAGATAGCTCAAAACAAATTAGTGGATTTACACTGGACTTCTCAAAGGTCGAGTAAGGTCGCCCTATGGCAAAATATATTAAGTCTGAATAGACTAAAAAATAGAATGCCTACAGTTAATTAAGTCTTAAAAGTTTATATTGTGCAAAAGTATATTACTGTAATAATAACTGTACGCAATGAAATTCACCCTCCCCTGACTGTGCTCTCATCACTCTTAAATTATGACTTCAGTCCCACAGGATCCTGCTGTAGGTATATTGAAGGTCAGACAGCTAACGCCACCTAGATGTGCCTCCAGGTACTACACCTCCCTAGCTCCCTATCTTCATCTATCTGAAAGCAACCTGTGTCAAAGCCCATCTGCAACACCTGACTATAATAGGACTTTCCAAAGATGTTTTGCACTCCCCATGAGTATGCAGTTCCTCAGGGGGGGATCCTGGGTAATGTAGCCTGTCACTCATAATTTGGGCACACAGTAGATGACTGTGTGTTCACCAAGACTTTAATGAAAACCCATGGACATAATTCATGTCATAGTAATTACTTTGTCTTCCCAACCTGTCTCTCCTTTTTACCTCCCGTCTCCTCCATAATGCACTGGCAAGACTTCTTGAGACAAAAGTGAGCCCCGCTGTGTGAGACATGATATTCATTTTAATTTATATGCACTGAGAGGAATTTTAAGAACTAACGTCATTTTTCAGTCCAGTCTCACCCTTCACACTTAACAGTTTGAAAATTTCCACAAGAACACCTACAGTTTTAATGTTAATAAAGGGCCTGCTAGATTTCTACTTTTTCAACTTGTAATGATGACTTTAATAACACTGATGAGAAAGTCCAGCTTTGGATCCCAATACTGTAACATCATGCCAATATGAAGAAAAAAGAACATCAGACGACCTGATGTGTAGTCACCTTACACAGTTGCGCATGTTTGTTTGTTTATTTTTTGCGAGCAAGGCACCCATAACTCTGTTTTAGTGTATATGAGATGTTTTGCTGTACATGAGGCCAATACAACCCTCCAAACTAATGAGGGTCTACACTTAATACAGAGATGTGGATGCATTTGCCAAAAAAGCTAGAGACTGACAGGAAGGTGCAACGTGATATTCAAAGAGAAGTAAAATAGTAATCAAATGTTGATCAGCTACCTTGAATTTTAAAAAAAACATACACGTGAAGCTATTTTTATATATAAATATAAAAATATATGTAGTAGCCCTTCACACTTGGACAATCAAACACCCAGGATTGGCACAACATCTTATATAAAAGCTGGACATGTGTCACTGTCAAGCTCCAAACTCTGTGATCAATTACAGCATTGCTGTGATGCTTCACTATGTTGTCCACTAATAGGCTGCAAGACTAGGGGTGAATTATTCTACTGTTGTGGTGGTGTTAGAGACAAGCAGTAATGGGCTCTCACCCTCAGTGTGCACTGCAGACACATAGGTCCAGTTGTAATGCTTGACAATGTCCAGCATGGCCCGAGCCTGAAGAGTGTCTGAAGGAACGACCCTCAGGAAGTACTTGAACAAAGTCTTGTCACTCAGGTCGATGCTGGTGGCAGAGTAGGCAATCTGGGGGATGTTGAAAAGCTGCAACAGGTTTTGCACCTGAATAGCTACAGAGCTGGATCCAGGTCCGATCACACCAGCGATAGGTTTCTTGGAAGGTGGTGGCTGGTTGGATGGGGTACCGTCAATGCACCATTTGGACCCGTCCTTATCATCCCGGATGGAGATGAGGGAGTCCCGGATGAACTCGATGCTCTGCTCCAGGGCGACAGACGAGTGCCAGCAGGAGTCCCGGATCTCACAGCCAAGACTGATGTTGGGGAGCAGGTTGGGATCGGCGTTAATTCGGTCCAAAGTGTGGAACATGGCCTCGACCCTCTGTATGCCGTACTGCTCGCGCACGTCCCCGCACTTCCGCTCGGCCACCTTCTCAGCAGACGGCTGGTGGTGGACAGAGAAGAGCGCGCCGATGATCACGTCTCCGTCCATGCGAGCCACGGAGCGGGAAACAGCACGTGGGACCACCGACCGCTCATAGATGCTGCTGCTGTGGGAGAGCACGAGAACCCGAAAGAGACACGCGGGGAGACACAGGAGAGCTAAGAGACCCATCTTTACGCATGCCATGTTGCGCCACATCGCGTGAGCCGTGCCAACTGTGCAGGCATATCATCTGCTGTCTGCCAGTACTTCCACGCTTATCCCATCCATGACCTGCGAGCACGACACCTGGGAGGCATCCACGCACACCTGCTAAGAAACAAGACAAACTGCTGTGACGTGCAAGCTAGGAGAAACGAGGACAGATGTGCCAAACGTTTACGTATAAAGAGTTGACTAAGCACGCATGCTCCTTTACATCAACGCCCTGCTTCACATTCCTACAGCTGGCAGCCCTCCTTATCCCGCTATTATCAACCACCAGACGCGAGATGCCATTGAGCAAGGCATTCAAAACGGACACCCAGCTGGTCTATGGCCAACAGTGGTTCAACAGTACTACTGTCTGGTCCGCCAAGCCTCTACGTCTATTTAACACGTGCGGAGACAGTCCGTTACTTCAAAACCTCTCAGACAATACGGTGTTTTTCATTGCAAATGATCGCTTGCTATTTTGTGCGGATGCTGGCTCAGCCATCCACAAGATCAGGCAGGCTGCCGATTTCAGGACCGTGGACAGCGCGCTTTCCAAACACGGTACAAGGACGTCTTTGGGACTACTGGCTGCACTCGTCATCCCCTCACAGACGCATTCTTCACGATTTGACTCATCAATAGAAACTATTATACGAATCTATGTGAGTTTAATACGAGGAAGCCTACAAGATAGACGATATACATATAAACATATTATTATTATCCGTCGTGCAGCCTAAGGTACCTCTAGGTTTAAATGAATAATAATAATAATAATAATAATAATAATAATAATAATAATAATAATAATAATAAACAATCTAAGCTGTTACCTTTATAATAGGAAGCATGACATGACATGTTCTTATTGTCACCTTTAATCAGTCCATGTTTCCCATTCTGCTACAAACACCATGCACATTCAAACATGTTTTTTTCCTGGTGTGTTAAAACTTACCTGAATCCTTGAGACATGTCGCGTGCCTTCATCCGTCTTCTGTAGCGCGTGGTCTTCGGCGGTATTAGACTTGAGTCTCTCTCTTCCCCCTCTCTCTCTTTCTCTCCGTCTCTCTCTCTCTCTCGTATTTCTTGCTTGCTCTCTCGACTCCAAACATGAAAATGAACATCCCCCCTGCAAGTGTCACCCCTTCCCCCTCCCCCTCCCCGTGTCTAAGCCCATAAATCTTGCAATGTTTTATGAGAGATAAGAATACGAGCATATGAGCAAAATCTGTATTTAAACATAATGCACAAAAAAAAAATTCATATTCTGAGCATTTTGTGACGTCAGGTGAGCAGGGCACTAAAAATCTATTCTGTAGTTGTTCATGTGTGTGTGGATGTTTATGTTGGATACAGGCTTTTGCATATCATTATTTCAATTAACTTGTATTTTGTCACTTGCTTTATTTTGAAAGGGAGAAAGAACATCAGATTAGTCTGAAGTCTGGCGTTACACACCATTTTGAGCATTTGACAGCTGAAGAGAGTTTTAGGACGTTGAGCTGAGAAGTGCAAACAACAAACAGAGAGGAGCCTGCTTCTCATATCTCCACTCACTTGAGTTTACTTGAGGCCTCTGGCTCCAGCACGAAAAATAAGCCCTGGATGTTTTTAGCACGGAGTAGAGTCTGTTGCGCCACCTAGCGTTCGGTTGAAGGAGCTCGATGACTTATCAGTCATTAGGTCAACAAAACCGGCCACGGATCTCAGCTTTTCGACCCTTAAGCAGATTCAAAGAGCTGCCATTAGGACGTAAGATCAATTTTTTTTTATGTATTTTTAAATAATTATTCCCTGTGAGTTATGATTACAGAGAGGACTCTGAAATAATTTCGCTCAAATCTGGCGAAATTGCGAGTGAATTTAGTAATTGTTTCATCTTTACCCATCCATTATGATAAGCAAAGGTTTCCCTCCCGAGAGGCATGTATTCTCAAGTAGTGGGCCCTTGTCGTGACTCACGCCAGGCGGTATGAATCAAAAATAAACTTATACAAAGGCGTCACTACTGCCATTCCTGGTGCCCGGGGCTCCGGGAGCGAGCATCTGATATTGAACCTGAATAGAAGTGACATGTTTAAGAAGGAGACACTGCTGGATACTACGGCCAGCTGTGGGCGGGGACTTCAGCCTGAGTGGGTGGACCGCAAGGCTTTGTAGCAACCACTTAAGAGTGATATTATTTAGATTATGCAATATTAGTAAAAACAGATAAGAAAAAAAACCCTTAAATTTATTTTATAAACTGGGTATTGTATGTTTGATGTCCATTTAGATCAGGGGTGTCATACATAAGGCCAAAATCGGCAAAGCCAAGACAGGACAGCTTTAGAAAATGTGAACTTTTAATTGTATTTTACAGCTTTTCAAATTATATCCTTTCCCTTTAGTTGGATTCATACCACATATATACGTCGCTTCTTACACTGAGTCCAAAAAAAGGACATTTTCTGTGAAAATGAAAACTTTATAGTTTATAATTATAAGACAGTCTGGGAAAAATATTTGCTGGAACCTTTTCTGTAATTTTACACATTTATCATGTTTTTTATAGGTCCGGCCCACTTAGGATTAAAGTCACCTATGATGCAAAATGAGTTTGACATTCCTGATTTAGAGTTTGCATTGTTTCCACCTTCTGCTATTAATACAGTGGCTGCTTATGCTTGCAAAAAGAGACATTACAAAAAAAAAATAAATAGATAAATCACCCACAAAACACTCTTACCTAGCTATTTTACATCTTCAAAACCTTACTGTCATCAATCAATGTTTTGAAAAGTCTTATGTTACTAGTCCTTATTTTGTTCCGCTTGCAGCAATGTCTGCCCTTCTCATCCAGAGCAGACGATTGATAGCCTCTCTTAAAGACAGAAAATAAGAACTGCTTAATAAGCAACAGTGAAAAGATGATACATAAATATCTGTTTTCTTGTTGAAATATTTTACATTAACCCCCTCGTGAATGTGCACAGATAGACATGGTTTTCAGGTTGGTGGGGGTGGGTGAAGTGAGAATTAAAAATAATCTACAAAGACCAAGAAAGTTTTCACAGTTCTGTGAAAAACTAAGTAGTATAGACTACAACCCTCTATAAAATTAAAATTAAATGGACTCAATTAATCGATCATCAATAAGTGTGAGCACTTTTATAAAAGCCAACGTTTTGGCAGTTTGCTGGTCTAGAGCATTAAGGTGCAAAAACCCATGAGCTACATCTCAGAATCTACAAGCGTCAGTTAGTATGTTTAATGTTAAAGGTCACAATTAGAAAAAGACAGGACAAGTGTCGCTTGTTTGGAAGTGAAAAGAAGATCGCAGTACAGCCTTGGTTTGTCAAGTTGCATCTGAACAACCCACAAGACTTCTGGAATAAAATCCTTTGGACAGAAAAGATCAAAGTGGAGATGTTTGTCTTTAATGCACAGAACCACATTTGGAGAAAATCAGACAAGGCATATCAGCACAAACACCTCAACTCATCCCTTAAGCACGGTGGCAGACTGGCAATGATTTGGGCTTGTTTTGCAGTCAAAGGGCTTGTACACCTTGCAGTCACTGAGTCAACCATAAACTCCTCTAGAGTCAGATGCGAGGCCATCTGTCCAACAACTAGATCTTGGCCTAAACTGGATTATGCAACTGGACAATGATCCCAAATACAGCAGTAAATCTGCAACAGAATAGTTAAAAAAAACAAAAGAAACAAGATGTTGCAATAACCCAGTCAAAGTCCAGACCTCAACCTGAGTGGACCTGAATGCATTTTGTTTGTTTTATTTAGTTCTTTAAATTAAATGACAGTGAGACTTCGGTTGATATGATGTTGATATGATGTAAAACAGCAATATTCCCACTGCATGGGTTTGTTTCAGCACCTCGTGACAGGTGTATTCAGTTCTGCTCAGCTTTGATGTGTCCATGAGTCAGCTCCCCCGGGTCCTGTGGTGCTGTTATGTAGGTGGCCTCGACCTCTAAACGTGGCACGTCCTTCTGTTAACAGCAATAAAGTGAGGCACAGTCCATCTTTTTCCACCTAGGAGGAGGCTTAACAAAAACAACAGTGCAACAGTGACCTCTCCTGTTTGTTAGCAATTACTGCATGTTAGTTGAAAAATGTTTGTAAAGCTGCATTCTCTTGGACATATCAGACCCAAAAGTTTATATTACTTCTGTTTTTAAAGAGGAGCAATTTTCAGTTTAGCAGGTTATTCATTTTCTTACTTTTTCGAAAAAGTTAGAATCACCAGCACATGGGAAAATCAGTAATCTTCTTTCTAATGATCGTTTAAGTCATATTTGTAATGTTTTGTGGACTTAAGGCCAGCAAATTTATTTGTAAGCTATTTTTTTCCACGCAGACATAATAAAATGAACAAATAAAATAAATATCCGGTACACATTAAGGAGCTTCCGTCATCAGTTCATACACAGTACATTGTAAGGTATCCAGAAATTGCTGAACAGAAGCAAACAAGGAATACAAGTTATTATTGGAAAAAATCTTTTTTTACTATGGTTTAATCTATATAAAATAATCAGGTTTGTATGATGTAATATGCCAGTTTTGTTAGTTAGACTTGCAGTTTATAATGAATTGAAGCTGAACTTAACTTAATTATTGGACCCTCTTGTCCATCCTTATCACTGGTGTTGGACGAAAATCCTGTTAATCTTACAGAACCCAACACCATTGGATGGCAGCACGTATAGAATCAGCAGTGGAATGTAACTCAGTACATTCCATCAGGAACTTTACTAAAGTATTGTTTCAGTGTAATTGGATGTTGTTACTTTCTCCTTCTATTTACAATTGTTGTAAATATTGTACTCCAAACAATTTATCTCTCTCTCTCTCTCTCTCTCTCTCTAATCACATTATTAAACACATCATTAAAGTGATATACACGCATTACTGAAGTAACATTTGTGTGTTCCTATGATATATGTTTGTGCTTCCAAAATACATTTTTATAGGTTTTACAAATTTTAATGCTACAATGTCAAAATAACCCATGACATAACAGTACAGGTTTATCCTGTCATAGTTATTATAGATGTCATGATGTATAAGTGGAACTAAACAATGACCATAATGTGTCCTTTTTTAAAAAAGTTTAGATTAATTGTTCAGTTAAAAACACCAGTTTTTCAGTATTGTTTGCTTTTAACATCGTTGCAAAACTCCATGTCGCACCTATGTAGGCAACTCCCGTGATTATTCTCAGCTTTTTTTTTTTCTTTGATGTGCGCTTTGGTCAATAAAGTTTTGAACACAAAAAAAAGAGAAAGGCTGAGAGGATATGTAGCTAGCTACTGGCTATCATTAGCACTTTCTCTATAGCCGTAACTGCAGTTAACAGCTGGGTTTGTTGTAATTTTTTTAAATACTTTTGATCGGACTTTTTGCTGCCAACATTACGATCAGGTAAGAAGTGCCCTGCATGCTAGCCCGGGTTTATACCGCTGTTGTTTTGAACCGTTCAACTTCCGAGCTAGCTAGCTGTTGTTAGCTAACAGTATGAGCCTGCCTGCCATTGTTACAAAAACAAGTTGATTTGATGGTGAAGGAGCTGATGACAACAAACAAGCTTGCAGCACTGGACTCGTAATATACTACTGTACACGGTAGTGAAAGCTTCTCGTCTTTTTTTGCTCTTGTTTTAAGTAAACTTAGCGAGGAACATTAATCTAGCCACGCTGTGTTTTTGTGTTACGTTTGTTGTCAGTGAATGCGCTTTATTTGGGTCAGACATCTGAAAAGAGATGCTGGCTAAAAAAAAAAGTAACTAGTATTGTTTTGTTAAAATATTGTGGATGTTAGTCGCGTGTTTGGTTATGTATTTATACATGCTGCAAGGTTTAGAAGTGACGGGGTAGCGTTTAACTTTCCAATGGATTTGTTTGCATTCACTCGTTTGCCTGAAGTGGTTACAGAAACAGATGCTCTGAGTAACTTGCCACTGGCATCAGGGGTTTTTTTTGTTTTGTTTTGCTTTTAATCTTTTTACACGTGAGATTTAAAAATGGCTGCACCGTAAGTGTCCTTTCTACATGTCCAGCTTCGTTGGATACATTTTAGACGTGTTTTCTACTCTT